TTTTGTTCTTCAGTCTAGTTGTGGAGGATGTTGCTTCCCTGGCCCAAGTTGGCACCATCATTGCGCTCTTCCCAGGCGAGGCAGATCAGTCGCCGGCTTCTGGACTATTTACTATATTTTCACATATTTTTTTACTAGTACTTAAAATCAGCTAATAAAGGGCAAAGTTACAATTCTATCCTACAAAGATAATCATTAATAGTTTGCTGTATTTTCTTTGTGTTTTTTCCTATGTATTTAGCTGTTAAGAAAATAAATGTAATTTCTACTTTTCTAAAGAAATATATGTAGTCTTTTTCTTCAAAACCTATCAATACCTGTTTGATAACCAAAACATTGACCCAGATAAGTAAATAAATTAATAAAATCTTACTTCGCAGCCAACCTTACTTTCACTTTTTTCCGCCACTGTCTGTGAACAGTGTTCTCCTATTTCTAAAGCAGACATAGTTAGAGGGCTACAGTAGGTTTGCTTTTTCCTGTTTAGCCACATCAGCCAACTTATTTACACATCTCTGCCTCATCTTAATCTCTTCCTTCACATGTGTTTATTAAGGGGAAAAGAGTTGTTTGAAGACTAGGATAAAAAGTATATAAGTAAAAGTATAATAAACTAAAATGGAGGAGGAAATTGCTAAGAGGCTTTAGATATAAAATAAAACCAATCAAAACAAAACAAAGCTACAGTTAGCTCTTGATTACCTGGGAGCGTTTTTTTTGTTGTTGAGAAGTGGGAGTGAGACCCCTGTTGCTTAGCCTCCCTTTGCTGTGATAGGAACCCAACCCCACAGCAGATGGAAAATCAGACCTAATCACTTTTTACCTATTCCCTGTCCTGAAACAGCAATCAGTCGTCACTCAGGTTAATCTGAAATCCAGTTAGTCTGCCCCTGGATAAGTGCAAATTGTCTATACCCACTACATTGTAAATTTGTACAGTGTCTAGTTTGGTTTCCTCAGTGCCTCTCATACATGATAGTTAATAAATAAATGCTTCTTAAGCTGATCTGAGTGGATTGGAGTTGTCAAAATAAGTAGTTAAATAAGATAATTTAGGTTACCCTAGAAAATTATTCCATTATCACTCAGTCATCCTAGTACTCAGTGACTACCTAACTTCTTGCATCCTGAAGCCCTTATTTTGTACAAATTCTATTAGTATTATTGAAGGTAAAATATTGTTACTATTATTGATATTTTATTAAAAAAAAGGGACACTGAGATTAAAGGCAAAGCAAAACCATGATTAAGGGAGAAAGTTCAATGAGCAAAAATAAAAAGGCCTCTCTATATTTTAGAAGGAACTTCTAAAGCCTTCCAAAATATACAGTCAATATGGGAATGCAGAATGTTTCACAGTTTTTTTAAGCATAGTAATTCACTAACCTTTACAGCTTTGAATTTTACAACTTTGAGTAATACCACATGGTATGCTCCCTGAAGATAAAGAAATTTGAGATCTCTGGGCCTTCAACTTCCCAAGGTCGTATATATCTGATAAAACTGTGATCAAAACCTAGGTCTCCCCCTCTTAACTTTGTCAGGTACACTTTCTGCTGTACGCCTCTCCTGTAGTAACTTAAAATATTGAACATTTGTAAATTAAGCGGGGTTGTCAGCTTTTATGTATCTTATCAAACTGCAATGAAACGTATACACACATGTGTAACATGGATAAGTTACATAGGGCTGACTCTCACTGAAATTCTTTTTGGCACATTGAGGTGTTTTGAGTTGATTGATGTTAACTTTGGCATCAGTTTCAATTATATATTTAGAACCTCTGATACTGGCCATATCTAGAATTTTTCTCTTGATAAAATGTCATATGAGTTTTTCAAGTATTTATTATGCAGAAAGTAACATTTTAGAGGCAATTTGGCAATCACTTTATTAGTAGCCAATGTAAGGGACACAATAATGACCATGGTGTGGCTCCTGGCCTTAAGGAACTTACGTAGACTTGCGGGTGAAACACATCTATGGGAACAGGAAATACCTGGAATATGAGGTAAAATGTGATGTAAGTCATGAGGGTACAAACAAATGTCTGTGTAAGGACAAAGCGGACATTTTACAGGGTTTCTTGTTGAACTGAAATACTATTATTGTGACTTTTCCTTCCTGCCTATTTAAGAACACTTCCTCAATGCTGTCTGTCCTACTTCTGCCACCCAACCCTGTTTCCTTCAGTGACCATGACACATACATCACCTACCTGGTTTGTATTCAGAGACTAAAACTTCTAATATTAATCCATGCATAGTTAGGAAGATCTTCAACAATGTCAAACAAGAAAATAAAATGTGTACATGCATTTTCCTTTATCCTCTGAATTGTCTTACTGAATGCTCTGTATCAGCACAGATAATTGAAAATTAATAAATATTTTGAGAGATGAGGTTCAATTTCTAATTCCTTGTATTTTGTTATCTTACATGAGTAGCATTTGGGGGCTAACGTTTTGCTGAACAATCTTTTATATGATAACAGTGCATGTTGTTAAGGTACTTTTTATGGTTTGGGGTCAGAATTTATATTTAGACCTCTGAGTGTATGCAGTCCTTGGGGAAAGTATAGGTATACAAAGATGGAAGACACATCTTTTTTACACATCTTTGATACACATAAATAACTGATGCAGAAAAAAATGACTGCAAAGAAGGTATAGCAGTCATATGAAGCATTGGTTGTGGGATATATAAAATAGACAACCCTTCCCTCTAATGCGGCGTGTGGGAGAGGGAGGAATTCATGGAATAGTAGCATTTGACTGAAGAACGAATGATGTTTGAACAAAGTGGGGATGGTGTTTCCTACTGAGGAGCAAGAGGCTCAGGTGAGAGCTTTAGCCAAGAGAGATTCAGAACTTGCTTTTAACTATACTGGGCTACATTTACATTGTTTTCTTTATATTTAAAAGAACACCCTTTCTCTGAACATAGGAGAACCTTTCACAAAGTTTTTAAAAAGTAGCTATGGCTCTTGGATTTGTAGGTATTCTAAAAAAGGAAAATGTGGTTTGAAATACAATCATTTTGATTGATTTTGAATAATTTATTTTGTGTTTCATCACCAAACATTTCCTGTTTATGAACTATGCACTCTAGTCACATGAAAGTCTTTAGAATCCCCAAATACTTCATGGCTTTCTTACCTCTGGTCCTTGGCACTTGTTACTCCCTCTGCAAAGAACATTATACTCACCCCTTACCAACTCCATTTAGTCCCTTATCCTTCAGCTACTTTGGATGTCATCTCCACTGGAAAGGCATTCTTTTCTTTTTTTGTTTTTTAGCTGAGCCATCCCGCCACCTGTTGGCAGCTCAGTGGCAGCTCAGCTTGGGCTGGGAGTCAAACCGGCAACCCTGTTGCTCAGAGTTTGCGCTCCTGAGCAAGCTCTTAACCAACTGAGCCCCTCGGCCGGCCCCTGGAAAGGCATTCTTGAACCTGCACAGTTGTGTTTTGTAACTTTTCTCTGTTCCCTTCTCTCTCCCAATGTTTATCCATCCCAGTGCTTACCCATCCCAATGCTTACCCGTCCCACTGCCTACCCGTCCCAGTACCTACCCATCCCAGTGCTTACCCATCCCAACAGGGCTTACTTTTTACATTGGAATTGTTTGGTCACTTGTCTGTCTCTCACCAGATTTGGACCCTTTCCCAGGGTAGGGACTGGATCTTACTGGTTGAATCCCTGGCCCCTAGTATAACCCTGTTTCGTAGTAAACATAATAAATATTGGTTGAATGAATGAAATTAGCTTTACATTTATGTGAGAACATGTGCTCAAATTAACTAAATCCACTTTACTGTTTTGGTTTTTGCAGATGGAGCTTTTTATTGTGCTGGTCATAAATCCACATATTCTCCTCTTCCAGATGACTATAATTGGTATGTGTTAAAATTTAATTGAAGAAATAACCGTCTGTTAGTTGTATCTGAAATGGTTTAATTTTATTTCTTGTTTTGGGGATTTTTGGCTTTTTTTATTATTCTTTATTTTTAAAAATGATTTCAGTAATCTTCTTTACCCCGTATCTGGGCTTATAAATGTTTTAAATAAAAATCATTATCATTGTGTTTCAGTGAATACTTAATTTGTTATAAGACAAATATGCTGTTAGAAATGCTATCTTTTCTTCCTGAAGCATTCTTTAGCTTCTTGGAAAACCTAATTAGTTTTTATAGTTTTAGGGTTCATATCTTATGCATATCTTAAGCATATCTTAGCTTATGCAGTTATTTGTCTTATCTTTTGTTTGACACTGAATATTCCTAAAGTATAAATATTTAATTCAACCACAATTTATTTCATACTTATTCAATTCTAGTCACTGTTGGGAATAATGTATGAATAAGATGTTATCTTTATACCTGTATAGCAGAGTCTGATGTGCAGAAATTCTAACGTACTTTCTTATGCTACATTTTTTATTGCAAATTTTAGTAAAAATGTATTTTCTTTCCTCTTAACACTACCTAGTTTTAATTGCACCTTTAGTAAGTGCTAAGATAGAGATGAAATTTGACAAGGTAATATTGGTAATGCTTTTTGAACCTGAAAAGAATGAGTCTTATAAGTGTTTTGCACTATGTAAAACTCCACCCTTCATCAAATCATTTGATAGATTAAATGTTCATGGTAGCCATGTTATGGAATTCAATTGTAAAATCATGGTGAAACACAGGATATCTTATCTGGTGTTAAAGTACACTTTTTAGTTTAATTGCTGTTCTGGCTCAAATCTGGTTGGTGTTGACATCCTAGAAACTTAAATTTATAGACGTCTAAAAAACACATAAGTTTGGTAAAAGCTGGAAGTTGTGCTCCTTGGAATGTATATGATCTAAGTACAACAGTAGTTGCCAGAGTCTTTGAAAAACAGGCTTGGTTAGTGGATACTTGAAGGAATGAGATCCAGTCAGAGAATCCCTGGAAATATTTAGAGGAGTATTGTCCAAAATGTGTTTTTCTGAGGGATATTAGTGGAGGAAGGGATAATGTTCAGTAATCCCCAAATTTGTTTGACTACAGAACCCTTCTTATGGGAAGCTCCTTACTGTTCTGCCAAAGGCACTTGGAGAAATGCTGATCTAAAAAAAGTGCTCAGCTATGATCTTTATGATTAGAAATTCAGGTGATCCTTTACCTGGAAGATTATGTACTTTGCTGAACTTCAACTTTAATAATTCAACCAAGTAATATTCTTCTTACAACTTTTTGAAGGCAGTTATTAGGTAAGGAAAAGAAGTTGTAATAATAGTGATGAATAAAAATGACAGTCTCTTCCAAAGATTTGGATAGTCTAAAAACAAATAATTTGAAGAATAACTTAGATAAAATAGTGGGTAATTAAGGGTTTGTTGTAGTTAAACTGACATATTTTGGGGGATGGTCTGAGTTGTCCTCTATGATATAGGTACCAGGTTTGCCAGTCTAGTGACATGGTGTCTGTTCTTCAAGGGTTCATGATTAATTAACTTTAGCTCTAAGAATGATCATTCTGCCTTGAATATAGTATAACTGCTTCTAAAACATTCTTTTTTAGCAAAGTAGAACTTGCTTTGACATCTGATGGCAGGACAATAGTATGCTACCACCCTTCTGTGGATATTCCATATGAACACACAAAAGTATGTATGAGAAAATCTTTTATAATTTTTAATTTGCTGTTAGACATATTCACACTTTTTTACAGTATCCAAAGAGAAGAATTTTCTTTTATTTGATTTTTTAAATTTGGTTTAGATCTTCTTTTGGCTGTTTTATTTTACTGTTTCGATTTTTCTCTTATTATTGTTTTCATCTTTCTTTAAAGACTATTTTCAGTACACAGAGCAAACCATTTAAACACAATTATGGCATCAGTTTTCTGGTATAAAATTTGGTAGATTTCTCACTAAGGATCAAAACATACCTGGTATAAACTTATAAAATACATTGTCTCATACTGTCCTATATTATAATCTAATAAATTATGAATTACTTGTATTTTAGAGTGCTGTTTCATAACATTTATGTTGTGTTGGTTCTGATAATCCTTTTACTGTTTGGTGAATTTCTTCTTTTTCTTTTTCTTGTTTTTGTTTCTTGTTAGTTTTTTTATAATTGGCCAACATAAGTATATATTTTAAGTGGCCTAGTTTAATTTTTTCCATATTTCTTTAAAAGCTAGGCAGTAGATAGAAATTTTATTTTTAATAAATTTACTTTAACTTGGTTGAAGTCTTTTTACTGTTTTACATTTGAAATGCTTTCTCATGTTTCTTTATGCCTTCTTCTATATTTGATTTGCTTTTTTTTAGCTGAGCCATCCTGCCACCTGTTGGCAGCTCAGCAGCAACTCAACTCGGGCTGGACTCGAACCGCTGTGGCTCAGAGCTCAAACCCTTGAGCCAGCTCTTAACCAACTGAGCCACTCGGCTGGCCCATTTTTGAGGAGAAAATAAGTAGATAATTCAGGTCATCACATGATGAATCTAGTGGTACCTATTTTTAAAAATCATCACTAGGGCCAGAATACTGGTTGATTTGACAAAATAGATTAATGTTATTTTGCTATTTTTATTCCCCTTTTAACCTCACCATCTTGTCTTCCTGTTTTCTATTTTAGCCATATATCATAGGCAATAATCCAGTACCTCTTTTGTTTCATTTCCTTGCAATGTGTAGAGATGGGCCTAAATCAGTGACTTTTGGCCTATACGCCTTCCAGCTTACACTATTTTGTGCCTTCTTCCACTCTTGTTCTGTGGTATGTTTCTGGTCATGTGCTTTATCCTGTCTTAGTAGTTACACCAAGAAGCCCAAGACTGCGAGGTCATTTCTCAGCATCCAGATTCTCATGCACATATGGCTTTTTGCATCTCTGAACCTGACCCTCTCCTATCCCTCCCAACTCTGAAAACTGCTCCACTGTACTTTTAGAACTTACTATCAACAGCAGAATCTCTCATAAACTTAACTTCTTCCAGAATGTTGTCTTCACCTTTGGACTTTACGGAAAGCTGGCTGTACCCTGGGACCAGTGCATCAGCAACAACCTTTTAGGTAGTTGCTGTTTTCTCTTTTACATCCTTTTATTCCTGGGCCTACAGGTGGGGTAGGTGTCTCTGTAGCTCCTCATTGTCATCCCCAAATGATTTTTCCTTCTCCCACACAATTTCTAGCTTTGTAGTTTATATGATTAACCTGTACCATCTACTACCATTTTGTTGCTGTCATCCACCAGCCTGCAGTTTACTTCTCTCCCCCCATCCTTCCACTCTTCCTTGAAGATTTTAGATGCATTGTCACACTCTCCACACTGTTTCTTCTAATTCTTTGTTATTTCAGTATCCATGTAGATCTAATACCTTGACCTCTCACTTCTTGCTCTTTTCTCCCTACCTCGGCCCCCACTCCAATGATTGTACCCTAGAGATAGTCTAATCATCTTCCCAATCTCGATTTCAAGAATTCCATGAGTTTACTACCAACTGCCCTTAGTCTTTCAGCCCCAAGAATTATTCGTCTCTTTATTGAGAGCTATACTAATTGATTGAATACTTTTTCACAGCCCCTCATGCATCTCACACATTCTCACTTCTTACACAGCATAGATTCCATGGCCCATCATTGTAATCATTCCTTTGCATACATGCCAGCTCCTTGCTTCCCCTTTTTTTGCTGCACTCCCTTTGTTGTAGCAGTTGTCTCCCCTCCTGCATCATCAGTAGTCCTCTCCCTGGTCTGAACGATCCCTCCTGTCACTTTCACAGAGGTACTCCACTGCGACCACACTGGCCTCCCTGCTGGGTATGAAGTCCTTTAGGCCAGCTCCTGCCTCAGCACCTTCGTATGTTTTGCTGCTTCTGCCTGAAATGCTTCCCCCCAGAAATCCTCATAGCTTATTTTCTTTCCTTTAGATCTTTCCTGTTCATTACCTAGTAAGGCCTCCTTTGACCACTGCATTCAAAGTAGCATCCCTGTCTCTGGGCTCCCTTGTCCTTCTTTGGTTTACTTTTCTCAATAGCATTTATTGTTTCTGGCATATTGTTTTTCTGTCTGCCTTCCACCACTAAAAGGTAAGCCTGTCTGTTTTGTTCCCTGCTGTATCCTCATCACCTGGAGTCATACCTTTTACATTGTAGGTGCACAATCAATATTTATTGATTAAATGAGTAAATTTGTTTCTCCCTCTACGTGCTTAAGGGTTTTTTCTGTTTTAGGACTAAGAAACATTCACAAGGGGAGGCATAGATTTTTTTGTTTTTCAATAAATTGTAGATTGGGCTGCACAATAAGAAGCATTCTTAAAACCATATTACTGGTAAAGTATGTTCTTTTTGAATCCAGATTTACAAATCTCATCATGATAGCATATAACATTAAATAAATATCCTCTGATATGACTTTAAATAAAATTTAGACTTGATTTTCCTCTTTCCTCCCGGAAGTAGGGCTGCAACTCTAGTAGGCCCTTCGATTCTCTAGGCCTTCCTAATTCCAACCTTCCTAATGCCGCGACCCCTTAATACAGTTCCTCATGTTGTGGTGACCCCCAACCATAAAATTATTTTCATTGCTACTCTATAACTGTAATTT